CTGGATGAGCCAAAAAGCTGCGCTCCCGCTACTCTCGGTGTGAATGGGGCTTGAAAGTGAAATTGGTTTGTTTACACAATCAGGCTCCATTCACATCTGTGTGCTTCCGAACACATGGCAGACTGCACCAAAAATGTGTGCTTTGCCATGTGTTTCAGAAACATGCTGTAAATGTGCATCGTATTTGTGTTGCCATTGCATGTTAAAGGCCACCCAACTGCGGAAAACACACCAAAAACTGGAGCTCTGCTCCAAAAAAAGTCCTGGAACTTTTCTGGAGCGACTGTTGTGTGTATGGCAGCCTTTCCAAGTGAATGGGCTGCCCTATGCATGACGAATGAAAACGCTACAAACACCCAAAACAAACACATGCGGGAACGTGATTTTTCACTACGTGGTGGTGTGAACGGGGCCGCTCCCTCCTGTGTACTTGTATTAGGATGGACATACATTATGCAATCTGATTGTACAATTTCCCTTAGATTTACCAGAACTATGGAATAGGAGGACACATCTGACCAATCTATTGAATTTGTATCAAATCAGACTGGCCCTTGTACTACATAGCTGATGGAAGATCTAAAGGAAATTGTATAATCAGATTGTATAGAAAGTGGGTGAAAGTTAGTATTGTAATGAGGGAGGTGTGGTCCAGAGTGGTGAACACGCCCTATCACACCCTTTTCTGTGATGCAACAAGGAAGTGAAGGCTTCTGGGAGGTGGTATACAGATAGTGAATGCTGAGATATCATCTACAGGAAATGATGGAATCTGAAAATTTGTTCAAAATCTCACAGAAAGTGACAAAAAAATGAAAGGGATTCTAAAGGTTCATTTTTTTTCTGTAAAATAACAAACATGTCTATACTTCCCTGCTGTGTAAAGTGCTTTTGCACAGAGCAGCCTGGATCCTCCTCTTCTCGGGTCCCCCCTCAGGCTCTCCTGGCTCTTCCTGTCTGTCGGGTGCCCCCAGAGCAAGCAGCTTGCTATGGGGGCACCCTCTGCTCTGTGTGTCCATTCATACACGTAGTCGCAGCTTGGCCTGCCCCCTCTCTCTCTTCATTGGCTGACCAGCTGTGATTAACAGCATTGGGAGCCAATGGCTCCCGTTTTCTGTCTCAGCCAATGAGGAGGCAGAGACCCGGGACAGCCGAGGCTGTCATTCACATCGCTGGATCGCAGTGGGGCTCAGTTAAGTATTGAGGGGGCTAGGGGGGCTGCTGCACACAGAAGGTTTTTTACTTTCATGCATAGAATGTACAAAGGTAAAATACCTTCAGCCTTTACAACCACTTTAAATGTCTTGTGGATAAGGCAAGTGAGAGAAAAGCACATCAGGATGGCTGGGCCGGAAATGGCATTGGAAAATACTTCTGTTTATTATGAAAAGTAAATTCTGACAAAAAAAGTGAACTTATCCTTTAATATAGGAAACTTCCTAGAGTTGTATCAAACTACAGCAAAATAAAGGGTTAAGTGAACAGGGAGGATCTCATTTTATACGACATCGCTGAACTTATGACAAGCATTCACAGAAATACTTTCACATTCACCTCGGTGTACGGGACAGATCAGCCGCTCCCAGCTTCTCTTCTGTACCTAATTGTAGCAAAAGTCCATTTTTATCCCCAGAATGGCGACTTCTGACCTGAGAGAGGAGCTGAGCTGCTCCATCTGCCTGAAATGTGGCCACAACTTCTGCCGGGATTGTATAGTGACTGTTCTGGATACACAAAGAAGTCTACCAATTATTCCTGTCCGGAGTGCAAAAAGCAGTATACAGAGCGCCCTCCGCTGGAGAAGAACAGGAAGCTGTGTAACATTGTGGATAATTTCAGATCTACTCACCGGAGGACACAGAAGTCTTCTGTACGTACTGTGATCCTCCTGCACCAGCTTCTAAAACATGTCTACTATGTGAGGCCTCATTCTGTGATAAACACTTAAGAAGTCCACAGCAAGTCACCAGATCACATTTTAACTGATCCCACCACATCATTTGAAGACAGAAAATGCTCCACACACAAAGAGATCCTGAAATATTACTGCACAGAGGACAGTGCCTGTATCTGTATGACCTGTTTGGTGGCTGGAGACCACAAAGGACACCAGGTGGAGCTTCTGAATGTGGCTCTGAGAAGAAGAAACAGAAACTGAAAGATGTAACTGAGAAACTGAACAATGTCAGAAGAGAGACTGAGAAGAGAATCCAGAATCTGGAAAATCATAGAACAGGAGAGAAAAAAAAAGCAGACGATGTCACCGGGAGAGTCACTGAGCTGTTTAGAGACATCAGGAAACATCTGGATGATGTAGAGAAGAGAGTCCTGACTGAGGTCTACAGACAGGAGGAGAAGATCTCCCAGTCAGTCACAGATATGGTTCAGCAATTGGAGACACAGAAGAATGAGCTGTCCAAGAAGATTGATGAAATGGGGGCCATATGTACCATCACAGATCCATTAACTGTGCTAAAGAAAGAAATGATCAGTGATGACATCACTCCTAGGAGTGGTGATGCAAGAGATGCTGAATGTCTGGTTGAAGGAATGATCTCACAGATGCTCCACAGAGGACTTCTCCACTTTACAGACAGTCTGATAGATCTGAAGACAAAGAGACAATTCTCAGTGATGGAGAAATCAGGCATCTTATTGGATATAAAAACAGCCTGATAATTACATTATTATATCACAGGATCTGAAATCAGTTACTTACACCAGTAAACCAGAGAATAGACCGGATGTTCTAGAGAGGTTTAATTCCAAACAGGTATTAAGTACACAGAGCTTCTCATCCGGGAGACATTACTGGGAGGTGGATGTGAGTGGAGCAAAGGAGGCTGATAGGGGTGGCCAGTCACAGCATAGAGAGGAAGATTGAGGAAAGGAATCATTTATAGGTTATAATGACAAGTCATGGGGTCTGACCCAGAGAGAAACTCTTTATACAAAGCACAACAACTCAGTATAACAATAGACTCTAAATCTTCTCTGAAGACTGTGGGGATCTATCTGAATTATGATGTTGGCCTTCTGTCCTTCTTCCAGCTGTGTGACCCCATCAGACACCTCCACACCTTCACCACCACCTTCACTGAACCCCTCCATGCTGCTTTCTATGTGTTTGTAGATTCCACCATAAGAATAACATAGTAAAAAATATATCACCTTTGTGCTGGACTCTCCAGTGTCAGATCACGTGTTCAATTCACAGGAGGAACGTACATTAACGTGACACTAAACAATATCTTCTTTATTTTTTAAAAAAATAATCCAGACAAATCCACTCCTTAAAGGTCCTGTAATCTGCAGCATTCTTCATGAAATTGTTTCTTACTGTGTTTTCCTGCCTCCTTGTAACATCCTGCGTGAGCTCCCAAACCTCTCCTTCTCCCTCCTTGTGTGGAACAAGCAGTGCATGTTAGTTGCAGTCTTGTACACAGCTCTATGGACACTACAAATCTCATAGTCCACAGTCCACCTCAGGAGTGACAAAGAGAGGGTGACTGATTACAGAGGGGGACTATGGAGAATGGCCCTAGCCACGCTCTAACATTAAGATGGATCACAGCAGCAAAAAGAAAAGAATTTAGAGGAGGATGAAAGCAATAGAATGGACTTTATGAGTTAGGAATACATACTTGGGTAGAATATAATTTTTTTTAAAACCGTTTAAATGTCACTTTAATCATGAAAAAAATTAGATCGAAAAATGCAAAATATCAGTATCAGGAACCATATGTATTTTGATTATATTTTTAAAGTATTGATGAGATAAAATGATCAGTTTCAATTACAGGCGTACTTTGGTTTACGAACGTCTCGGTTAACGTAATTTTCTGTTTACAAATGAAAATCCATTGAAAATAATGGCTCGGTTTACAAATTTTTTTCGCAATACGAACGGATTAATTGGTTTTCAATGCATTTATGAATTTTTTTTGTCATGTCCCTGTACAGTATTTATGCCTTTAAAGTACACTTTATAAAGAGTTTTGAAACAGATAGACTTTTTTTTAACTTTTTTTCTGACCTTCGGAACGGATTAATTGGTTGTCAGTGCATTTACAAATTTTTTTTAATCATATCCCTGTACAGTATTTATATCTTTAAAGTGCACTTTATAAAGCGTTTTGAACAGATAGACTTTTTTTTTTTTTCCTTTCTTCTGACCTCCGGAACAGATTAATTGGTTTTCAATGCATTTACAAATTTTTTTTTATCATGTCCCTGTACAGTATTTATGCCTTTAAAGTGCACATTATAAAGAGTTTTGAACAGATAGACTTTTTTTGACTTTTTTCTGACCTGCGGAACGGATTAATTGGTTTTCAATGCATTCCTATGGGAAAACGTGTTTCGGTTTACAAATTTTTCACAATACGAAAAGTCCCGCAGAAACGCATTGAATTCATAAACCGAGGTACGCCTGTATATACAATCTTAAAAATATGACCTGATTTAATGTTTGGCCCAACACCTGTCATCATATTTAATAGTGCAGACCGCAGTGATGATGTGTACGGTGCAGTGAATCACAGGAGCCAATCAGAACTCACTTATCTGGTTGTTATCAGTAGCTGCACTTTGCCACTAATTGCACCTTGTTGGGTTTTATGAAACAACCCCAACATGTGTCACAAGAAACGGGAATTTGTTGTAAAATGGCCATAAAATGAATGATTTTGGCACGGGAATTTCTATACTCTGGTGATTAGATTTAGCAAAGTGCTTTAAATAGTTGATTTGATATTTTTGATTCTTTGAAGTCGGTGTCACACCTAACAATACGTTTCTCTTACTTGCTACCTTTGGGACTGTTAAATGTACTGTTAGGAGATTTTGTTATATTTGTATGATAATTGCAAAAAACACCTGTTGCTGATAATTGAAATTCAGAGTTGTGCACGTTCCTTGTGTCATTTCAGGGAGTCTAATTAGTCCTCCTAGCAGGGGCGGACTGACAATTCATGGGGCCCCCAGGCAATAGGGGATCATGGGGCCCCTGGGCAATAGGGGATCATGGGGCCCCTCTGTCCTTGGCCAAACTCAAAAAGCCTATGAAAAGGTTCCAGGGGCATCTCATGGGGCCCCCTACTGACCCCGGGCCCTCGGGCAGTACCCGAGTTTCCAAATGGTCAGTTCGCCCCTGCCTCCTAGTTCTATGCTCAGACTACAGAGTAATCAGTGTCTATGCTGTAGAGGTGGGAGCGATTGAGAGGTTTAGCAAATTGGCTGGGCTGACACTACCTGATCTCTATAAATGGCACGTGTTGTCAGCTCAAAAGAGAAACTTAGGAGCTGAGTGCCCTTCTGGCAGATCAAGAGGTATTTTTCTCCACTTGCAGGGACTGTAGCACCATCCCGCCCAGCCTATTGTCATATGACATCCTCCCAGGATCACACTTCGCTTGCACCACAGGGACTGTGCACCCCACGGGCTGTGCTCCGGCGTGATCTGTCACCAGCTGTGTCCACCAGACACGGCCAATGACAGATCACTGTCTTGGCCTGCTGCCGGTACCATGTGATTGCTGTGACCAATCACAGCAGATCACATGACAGCTGTAAATAATGAATGGCTTCCTTTCATGCCAATCATTGCTTACCATTGTGCTGCTAGCTGTGATTGGTCAATCACAGCTAATCACAATAACTATTGAATGAATCAGTTTCATTCGGTAACAATAGTTTTTTATACCATGGAAATTCACTGGCATAAGCAATCATAATGTGTAAAAAAAGAAAAATCCTGATCCATTGCCCAGAGTCGTACAATGTTACTAGGGTAATATTATATTGCTCTGGTCACAGGAGTAAAAAAATCATTAAAAAAAAGTAATACAATTTTTTTTTAAATTTTAAAATTTTTTTCTTTTTTTTTTAAATACTGTCACCTGTCAGCATCGCTGATCACCGACACACCAGTTATATGATGATTCTGTACTGCATTTGTGACAGCATTGTGAATTGTTTTTTACTTTCTTCCACATTTTCCATAAAATTATAACAAAAAATTACAACTTCAAAAAACTCGCCATGCCTCTTATTAAATACCTCAGACTGTCTACTTTCCACAAAGGGTCATTTGGGGGATATTTGTACTGTCCCGGTATTTTTGGGCCTTAAGAAATTAGATTGGCCGTCAGTACTTCAGGATTGATCGATTTTCAGCTATATACCATAGTTTGTGAACTCTGTAACTTTCCTACTGACTCAATAATATACACTAATTTGGCCATTTTTGTCAACATTTTTGATAAAATATTATTTATTTGCAAAATGAAGAGAAACAAGTTTTTTTTTTAACATTTTCAGTCTGTTTTAATTTACAGCGCAAAGAATAAAAAAACCCAGTGGTAATAAAATACCACCAAAAGAAATCTCTATGTGTGAAAAAGTGATAAAAATTTCATATGGGTACAGTGTTGCATGATCGCACAATTATCATTCAAAATGCGACAGCGCTGAAATGTGAAAATTGGCCTGGGCAGGAAGGGGGTGAAAGTGCCCGGTATTGAAGTGGTTAAAGGGATAAAACATGGGGAAATGTGCATGTACTGCAGAGATGTACTGCATTTTTTTTATGTTGCCCCAACATACAATTTAGATGCATGTCTGGGAAAAAAAAAAAACATGCATGCAGAGACATAATAACAAAAAAGTAAAAAAAAAAACAAGCAAAAAAAATAGATATATAGTATATTTTTTTATTATTGCTTAGTGATATAATCTTGTAAATGTAGTTTTTAGTGCCATTGTTAGCCATAGATTATAGTAAGATTTTCTGCTAAACTTGCTAAATGACTTTAGTTGTTTCCTTTTAACCCAAAACAGAATTGTTTAATCAATGTTAAAAAATATTGATCTTTGCAAGTTATTATTATTATTATACAGGATTTATATAGCGCCAACAGTTTGCTCAGCGCTTTACAATATAAAGGGAGACAATACAGGAATGATACAGTTCAATACAAGAGGGATAGGAGGGCCCTGATCCTGGGAGCTTACAATCTAAGAGGGAGGGGCTAGTGGTACAAAAGGTAATAACTGTGGGGGATGGACTGGTAGGAGGAATAGAAGATTCCATTGTTAGCTGAGGGCAGGATAGGCTTCCCTGAAGAGATAGGTTTTCAGGGATCGCCTAAAAGTGAGCAGAGTAGGCGATAGTTGGATAAATTGGGGTAGAGAGTTGCAGAGGATGGGGGAAGCTCTGGAGAAGTCCTGGAGACGAGCATGGGAGGAGGAGAGGACAAGGGAGCTAGAGAGCAGGAGGTCGTGGGAGGAGCAAAGTGGACAGTTTGGGTGATATTTGGAGACAAGATTGGTGATGTAATTTGGGGAAGAGTTATAAATGGCTTTATATGTAATTGTTAATGTTTTGAATTTTATCTGTTGGGCAATGGGAAGCCCAGGGAGGGATTTGCAGAGAGGGATGGAGGACACTCAGTGGAGGCCAGTGGAGGGATTAGCAAATAGGGATGGAGGACACTGAGTGGAGGCCAGTGGAAGGATTGGCAGAGAGGGATGAAGGACACTGAGTGGAGGCCAGTGGAAGGATTGGCAGAGAGAGATGGAGGACACTGAGTGAAAGCCAGTGGAGGTATTGGCAGAGAGGGGGTGGAGGGCACTGAGTGAAGGCCAGTGGAAGGATTGGCAGAGAGGGATGAAGGAAACTGAGTGGAGGCCAGTGGAGGGATTGGCAGAAAGGGATGAAGGACACTGAGTGGAGGCCAGTGGAAGGATTGGCAGAGAGGGATGGAGGAGACTGAGTGGAGGCCAGTTGAAGGATTGGCAGAGAGGGATGGAGGACACTGAGTGGAGGCCAGTGGAAGGATTGGCAAAGAGAAGGATTGGCAGAGAGGGATGTAGGACACTGAGCGGAGGCCAGTGGAGGGATTGACAGAGAGGGATGGAGGACACTGAGTGGAGACCAGTGGAGGGATTGGCAGCGAGGGATGGAGGATACTGAGCGGAGGTCAGTGAAAGGATTGGCAGAGAGGGATGGAGGACACTCAGTGGAGGCCAGTGGAAGGATTGGCAGAGAGGGATGGAGGACACTAAGTGGAGGTCAGTGGAGGGATTGGCAGAGAGGGATGAAGGACACTGAGTGGAGGCCAGTGGAGGGATTGGCAGCGAGGGATGGAGGACACTGAGTGGAGACCAGTGGAGGGATTGGCAGCGAGGGATGGAGGATACTGAGTGGAGGTCAGTGAAAGGATTGGCAGAGAGGGATGGAGGACACTGAGTGGAGGCCAGTGGAAGGATTGGCAGAGAGGGATGGAGGACACTAAGTGGAGGTCAGTGGAGGGATTGGCAGAGAGGGATGAAGGACACTGAGTGGAGGCCAGTGGAGGGATTAGCAAGTAATCTTAAAGTGAACCTCACAAGAGTGGATAAGTCAAGTCAAGAAAATGATATAAAAAAAAATACATAAGTATATGTTAAGTATAAATGATATTTGACTTTTTCCTGCAAACCCTGAGCTTATTCCCAACTATACTAACTCCTGAACCTTCCTATTGGTTAGAAATGTACCAAGGCTTTCCACTAGTAATATAAAATGATTCATACTACATGCAAACAAACTTGGCCATAACCTATCGATTTTCAGGGCTTTGGTGGTTCCAAACATTTGTCTGTACAAATATAACACGGGGTGTCACCCAGAGCCCACTATAGGCGGACTATCCTACATTCAATATCACAATGTTTCTTTCCTTGTCCCGACACCAAACATATATTCTGGAAGAGCCAATAAGTGAATTTGTTCAACAATCTTCATGGCGTACAAACAATTCTTCTTTATTCCATACATATCAATATAGAAACACTGGAAAAAAAGATTTTACCGATTACAATCCAGGTAATGACCCAAATCTTTGTCTAGTATTTGTACATTATTAAGATTGTTGAATTGGGTCTTCCAGAATATATACTTAGTGCCGGGGCCAGGAAAGAAACATTCTGAGAATAAATGTGATCAACGCAATCAAAACTGAATACATCGCAGTTTGTGTAACTTGTTTTCATTCATGTAATATTTTGGCATTTAAATGACTTATATTTACAAATTTAAGCAAATAAAGTAAGTTTAAACCAAATATTTCTCCAGGCATGTTCTTTTATTACATTATATCATCCCTCTGTTATGCCGGCCATACATGGGTCATAATTCGACCGATTTTTTTGTCCGAAATTCGGACCTAAGAATAATCGGCTGATTTTCACTCTGTTAGTGGGTCAATGGCACCGGCTGATTTCAGGGTTCCTCCCCTTTTCGGTGATCGGGCATGTTGGAAAATTTGTGAAAAACTACCGATTTGCGACTCAATGATGGTCAAATCGTACAATCATTTTTCCAAAAAGAATATGCGCATGAGCCGTGACCTGGAAGTAACAGAAGTTTTGCCTGTTATATGGGATGAACTTTATGACTTGGTCAGCCGATTTTTGAAATCATTGATGGCACTATCGAATTACCGAGCGAACGACGTTTTCGATTTTTGGATGAAAAATCGTTCAGAATTCGACCCATGTATGGCCTGCATTACTGTACTGCATGTATAAATAAGAAAATGTCCCTACCTTTCTCCAGATTCCTATAACACACCTCAATCAGCCTTTGCTCGGACGATTGGACTCTGCTCAAACCAAGGACTTTTGCAATTATTCTGCCTTCTGAACTTCTCTCTTTTATTTCTCTGTTGTTCTATTTCTCTCTTTATATCTTTGCTACATCTTTTTCTGTAAATATTTTAATTGCACCATTTTGCCCTTTTTAGTAATAAATCTTATTTTCTGAAAAGTGTTGAACTGTCTGTAAAGCTTTTAATGCAAACTAAAGAATCCCTGTCTCTGGAAGAGTGTGTCAGGGCAGGGCTGTGGAATGGACAGGTAGGCCTAGTGGCAGGGTAACGCACTGGCTGACGACAACCACCACCAAGAGACCGAAGTCCCTCAGGGCGCAGAGTCTAAGTCCCAGGCTGCCCTTCACCAGGGCCCCTGATGGTGGGGATGGACTTGACGCAGCCAGGAACCAGGTCGCGGCCCCCGAGACACCCTGGCTGCGGTAATGGCC